ACTTATTCCCGAGTCCACTCGTGTTCAATTAAAAATATTTTCATGATTATTAATGTATGTTAATAAAATATTTCTTTAAATTGATTGACACGCCCAGTGATTGGTGATTTTCTAGTGCGCAACTGCGCATGACAAATTGTAATAAAATTACTTTTAACACCACCTACTATGTGGCCTTTTTACCCTAAACTGATCATATTTTTTAAACTCTAAGTAAATTCAGTAAAAAAAAAAAAAGGATTTCTCTAAGTAAATAAAAGTAAATTAGGTAATCAACCCTCACTGATCTCGGTCTCGACTCGGACTCGACCGTCTCTGGTCTCGGACTCGACTCGGACTCGACTCTCTATGGACTCGGTCTTGACTCGGACTCGACTCTCTCTGGTTTCGGTCTCGACTCGGACTCAAGTGAGGTGGTCTCGACTACAACACTGGCTAATATAGTGTGTGTGTGCAGTGTCAATTTCATGAAAAGTTCATGAAAGTTCATTAAGATGAATAACAAAGATGAATCTAATTACCACTATATGGGCCCATTCAAAGTGATTTCAAATGTATTCTTCTGGATGTGTAATAAATCGGTCCGCATCAGCCCGCCCCTTTTTCCTAATATGGTTTCTGTGTAGCTATATCAAATCTAGAGTGCTACGCGCGTACATAGATATGTATATAATGGCTAGATGTGTTACGGCGGAGTTTCCATCGTCATCACCGGCGGCCATCTTGTCACAGACAAGTTGATGTAAGATGAGTGGTCAGCACGAACACAAATACTCGTATCTCGTTGAAATCTTGACGGATTTACAAACGGTTTGGTTTCTTACAAACGTTATTAACGTGGCTATAATTATCTGGATGATTATTTATTTATACACTTTTTATTCATAAGTATGCAGTGTCATAACTACATCTCTGACGTTTATAACAAAACAAAACAAACCGTTTGAAAATCGGTAGAAAATTGAGCAAGTTATGGTCATTTAAATAGTGCATGTACACAATGTTACGAGTGAGCGAGCTGCCTGTGACAAGATGGCCGCCAGGTGCAGACGTCGACCTCCATTGGCCAGCAGCGTGGACGACATTCTAGCCTTTATATAGATATCTATGCGCGCGTATGGGCTTAGCTGCGAATTCAGAGCATTAACTTAAGTTGCGTCAGTGTAACGTTATCGATACCTAGCCTAGTCTAATCGTAAAGTAGTTGGCTAACGTTACTGCCTGCCATACAAAGCCAATAAGCCATAATAACGTTATCTGATCGGTTTTGAAATATCTGTTCTGTTTTGTCTTGTGTCGAAGTCTCCAGCTGGTTCAACTGTTTTCAGTTTCATAGAAATGAGGGTGTTTAATTTGTTGTGGGCTAATTGCAAAATCCAACCTAACGTTATCTAGGCATCGACTTGATGTTTCTCCCATAGACTATTATTCACGGTTCTTCACATATCAGGCAGCTAATTCAAATCATAAATTACTTATTTAAAATATAATATTTAGCAGTGTAACTAGTATTTCAATGATTTTACTTAAGTAATGTTACATATTACATTTGATGTGATTGCTGTTTTTACATTTCTGTCAAATATTAACCATTTACAAGTAATCATTTTAATAATTTCTTTCAAAGTCCTTCATCACATTTTAATATTAAAATAACTTAATTTCAGAGCACCACAAAGTCGGACCTCAGCACCTTTATATACCTTTAATGTAAGATCTTTCTTAGCCTAGGTCACATACCAATTTAAAATCATCACATAAAAATTGCAATGGTACTGTTTTTAAAATCATGTGTAGTGTATAGTAAGTAAGTGTGTGTGTGTAAACATGCTTTAATGAAGCAGACTTTAAAAGCTTTTGAATTTGAGCTTACAGTTCTTTCATCAACCTGTCTTTGACATAAACTTACAAAATAGATACTTCAACGTAGTGCTCAGATAGAGGAGGGTTGCTGCTAGCTCCTTTAAGGTATTTCTGTGCCTCCCAAACTGCATTGAAATGGTATGCTTAGAAGCCAGAATGTAAACATTTTCAGGGGGAGAAACCCCCTAACATGATCCATATCACCCGTCAGAAAACAATTGCAACGTCTCAGATTGTGCGCCCCCAGAATTTGATAGACAGATAGATTGGTAGACAGACAGACAGACAGACAGATAGATAGACAGACGGATAGATATACAGGCAAACAGACAGATAGACAGATAGACAGATAGATAGATAGATAGATAGATAGATAGATAGATAGATAGATAGATAGATAGATAGATAGATAGATAGATAGACAGACAGATAGACAGATAGACAGATAGACAGATAGACAGATAGACAGATAGACAGATAGATAGATAGATAGATAGATAGATAGATAGATAGATAGATAGATCGATAGATATCATTAGGCATAGGTTTTGAATAGCAATTGGGCTAGTTTTGGTTTGCAACCCTGTTGTCCCTCCTTCAGTGTTTATTTCCTGCCAGGCAAGTTTCGAAGAACTTCTGTTTTGAAGTTGTTTTCAACAGTAATACTTAAGGTCTGGCATAGGTGCAGTAAACCAATAAGTAGATATTCAACTGCCCTAAATATAGCTGTGTTTCCAGTGAAATGTTTGCTATCCACTATAATGTTTCCAGTATGAGAGAGGATATTATTTACAAGCACAGTCGCGTTCCAAAATGTTACGCCCACATCCAGCCATTATTTACAGATAGACGTCTGATCAAGTGGGTGGAATGTGACACTTTCCCAGAGAGTCTCTTGAGTTCAGTCTTGATTCTGTCACATAAAGCCCAGTGTTTTATCTCTAAAGTGGAACAAAGTGATGCGCACACACACATGAATAATTGTATTCATACAACGATATGCGAGTAATGCCACTATATGTGTTTTGACCAATATGGGTTTTTCGATGTCAGATGTGAATGGAAACATCTAGAGAGCAGCGTGGAAGATGACTGTGATAAAGCCAATATATAATGATGGCAAATGATTGAAATTTCTGGGAAAAAAAAATGTGTTTAGTAATGAATATTTCCAACATGAGCACTAACCAAAAAGCCCATAGCTCTTCCTAAAGCAAAGTAACACATTTAAAGCAAGTAAAAAAATACATTTTCAATACGTTTAAAAAAAAATACGGTAACACTTTATTTGATTGTTTCCTTGTTACATTATGTTACATGTACTTATAACAATACATTATGCATAATCCTTAACTAACCCTATAGTTAGTACATGTTGTTAATTATTATTACTCCGTACTTAAATATATAATTACACTGTAACAATGACACCTTAAAATTAAAGCAGCACTATGCAGTTTTTTTTTTACCTTAAAGGTGGGGTACGTGATTTTCTTTTTTGACCATTTTTTTTTTCAAAATCCTGTTCCTAACCCATGTACAGACACTGAGTTAGAAGCACTGAAATGAAAATGAAGGAATTTAATCATCATCGAAAAACTAATCAAATCCAATCATTTCCAAGACAAACTAGAATCATTGGACAGTACGTCAATCAAACGGTCGTACCATACCCCCCTCCCCTGATCGCCTCGCCATCAGGAAGTGTCGCATGATATCAGGTCTCGCGATGTAACGAATTGTTTTATTGCAAGAAAGATCTGCTAAAATAAACATCAAACAGAAATAACCTGGCGCCGTATACATGCGGTGTTCGAGGCGCGTACAATACAGACTGCCGACAGTTCAACAGGGTGCAGCTCTTAAAGGGGCCACACCTTATTTCCACTCATTACAACTTAAAGGGACAGGGGGAGGGGATCATAAGTGCTATTTACGACAGTACAAGTACTCCACTAAGGATGGGCAACGATTAATCACGATTAATCGCATCCAAAATAAAAGTATGTGTTTACATAATATTTGTGTGTGTAGTGTGTATAATTAATTTGTATATATAAATACCCACACATGCATGTATATATTTAAGAAAAATGTGTTTTTAATATATCAAATATTTATATATGCAAATATTTCTTAAATATATACATTCATGTGTGTGTGTTTATATATACAAATTAATTATACACACTACACACACATATTTTATGTAAACACAAACTTTTATTGTGGATGCGATTAATTGTTGCCCATCCCTATTATACTCTACAGCAACTCTAGGGGTCACAGTTTGACAAAAACGGAAATCCTGCGTAGTGTGGCTTTAAGTGTAACCAATACTATTAGTCCAGTCTTCACATTTAATTCAATGCGCTACTTGCCGTATTTTGTCATTATTTGTGTAATTCACTCGCAGTTTCTAAATAAATTATTTCGTTTCAGTGCAGAGCTCTGAATTCGATCTTTTCAATTTTAAAATTTGAATCCTTTCAACTCTTCAAAACTGTTAATTTTTCAGCCTTATCTGCCCCTTGTCCATATTGTTGTTCTCAACCCAACGAATGGCAAATTTGTTTTCAAGGCCAAGTTAGACTGATTAATGACAGATAGCATGTGCAATTAGATTAGGTTTAATTAGATTAGTCTTGCCTGGCACTGAGACTGTGTCCGTGTTGAGGGTGGTGGTGGTGACATCTTGTGGCGCAGGGGTCTGTGAGATGGCTGGTGACGGAGAGCTGTCATTGGATGGTTGTGATGGAGGAGCAGCCGTAGGTGTGACCTCACCGCTTGACACATCAGTCGGAGGAGGAGAGGCTGTAGGGGGTCCTGATTCCAAAATATCACTTTTTGAAGTCACGTGATCTTCAGGAAGGACTTCATTCAGAAGGGATGTGGATGAATCTGTTGTCTGACCTTGGGGAGAAGTAGAAAGTATCTGAATGAGCAAACATGTTCGTTTAGAATGTATTAATTACAAAACGTCTACATTACAGTCTACAACCGCACTTTTAGATCTAAAAAAAAGAAGGGAAAAAAGAAATATGCAATGTTTATTTGCTACAGGAAGAACGCTGCTTGTTCTCATGCTGAATCGGTTTACGTGGGCGTTCCAGACCGGATCTGTACAGCCGAGTTTAATGGTCACACAGTGAATCCACAGAACAAAGCGGTTGTGACCTTTATATGTCAAGAAAGAGCAGAGGAACAAATAAAACAGATAAAATGCGCACGTGCACAGGGTTTTGAAGATTTAGAAGATAGAAAAGAAGATCACCCAATCACTATTCTCTGTTACAGCATTAACCACTTAGTGACCGGTTCAACTATAGTTAAGAGATGCATGAACAAAAGAAACGAACAATAAAACAAACATTTTGTAAATGCAGACAGGTCAAATTTGAACCCATGTCTCCCACATCAGCCTACGTGTTCCAAAACACAAAAAGTGAATGAAATTAACACCATAAACCGAGATCTTACTTCAAGAATATAATTAGCACTTAACATACAAATATTCAAATTGGAGACCAAAAACATTTCAGTTACAAAAGTATTTCAAAATATAATAGATGAACTTGTTTTTTTTCTGTTCCCAAATATATTGTTTCTAATTTTATCTTTTCAATTTGCATCATTGTAACATGCAAATTGCCAATGACATTTTCAAAGGATAGATCTCTCTCTCTCTCTGTGTGTGTGTGTGATCCATGGATGTTAAAGGTTCGTTACACTATTATTTCAACCCAAATTTGGGTCAGATATTGATAAACCCAGTAATTAGGTCACCGTTTTTTAAATGACATTTTTAACCCAAAGTTTGGGTTTGTCCATATTTTACCCAAAAGTGGGTTAAAACAACCCAGCATTCAAAGCCAATAATGAACCTTTAATTGTAAACCAATTTTCTTCCACTAAAAAACCTTTTGTGTAATTGAAAGGTCCCATGTTTTCTGAAAAATAAAGCTTCCAAAGTTTTTTTGTTTTTGTTTTTTGCATAGAACAGTTTGTTTCCCCAAATAACCTTTCAGTGATCAGTTCTTAAAAGAAAATTTTTTTTAATGTGAAGAACATTTTAATAATACAACATTTTCCACAATAAAGAATCCTTAGTGGTTCAATTAGAGGTTCTTCATCAATCAATGCCAATAAAGAACATTTACTTTAAAAAGGATAGATAGATAGATTGATTGATTGATAGATAGATAGATAGATAGATAGATAGATAGATAGATAGATAGATAGATAGATAGATAGATAGATAGATAGATAGATTGATTGATTGATTGATTGATTGATTGATAGATTTAGTCCCATAATGTTTCATGTATAGGCTACATAATGTAATTAAAATTAGGACTTAAATAATGATGAACCGAAAAACCATGCGAGCAAGACAAAGCCAGCAGAGACTGTCACATTACAGAATCATGTTGCCAGGTTTCTTACTAGAAATCAAGTAAATCATAAGCCATGTGCTTACCTTTTATGACAGATAAATGAAGAACCGTCGCAGTCCATATAATAAAGGCGCTTTGAGTCCTCATGTTAAGATAAAGCGACTCAAAGCGAGCGCGCTCAGACACCGTGTAGATTCGCTCTGTGATTCCCGGGATGATCTTTCCGTTAGATGACAGCGGACATCGTCAGTGCTAAAAATATCTCGAGGGGTCTGGGCTTCAAGAGCGGGGTGTGGTTAACCGCAACCTATGGTCTAAACGACAGCTTATTTATAAAGAGAGCAAAAGGACCACTAAACCGTTTGAATCGCATCGAATTTGATGTAAGGGACCGAGTGAACTGGCCCGAGACAGGCAAGTGAATGACGTGTAGCGTCAGTCCTGTCAGCTGTTATTTAGTGCGACCCACGTGTATGTGTGTGTGGACCATCCCGTCAGAGCTGCCCATTACAGACACATGACCTGACGAGACTCCACAAACACCCCCTTAAAACGTACCACTGAATACTGGCTGTCACAGAGCACAAGAATAGGATTTAATAAGGAAGATAATTGGGAATGGAGTCAGTGAATGCAGAGGAGTTCACAGTGGAGGCGGTGGAGAGGGTGAGTATGTGACATACAGGAGCTGGATGACCAAACTGACTCACAGAAACACATGTCACTCAACCATTTGTGTATGAGCTAACAAACGGTGACTAATAACTTTTTACTTTTACAGTCTCGTAATTGGGTAAAAGAGAAATGGCATATTTTAGATGGTCTACCATTTCTTTCACTATTGCAGCTCACTTAAAGGGATAGTTCACCCAAAAAGGAAAATGTTGTCATTACTTATTTCACCTAAAGTTGTTCCAAATCTGTATGAGCCTCTTTCTTCTGTTAAACATAAAATAAGATATTTTAAAGGGAACCAAACAGTTGACTTGACAGCACTCATTGACTTCTATAGTTAGGAAAAAAATGCAATGGAAGTCAATGGGTGCCGTCAACTGTTTGGTCACCAACATTTATTATTATTTTTTTAAATCTCTTTTTTGTGTGTTAAACAGAAGAAGGAAACTCATAAAGATTGGTCTGAATGACCAAACAGCTCTTTAAATATAGGCTACTTTACATTAAAGTAACACGCTGAAGATTAGAACTGGTTAAAAAAAGTCAACATTATGACACACAAAAAGTCTATTGAAAATTGTGTTTAAAGGGGTGATGAACTGATAAATCAAATTTTCCTTGAGCTTTTGACATCTTAGAGGTCATCATATTATAAGAATAAGTTTCAGAACTGAAAACGTCCTTGTTAGTCCAATAAAAGGCCAGGCACCAGACTTATTGACACCATGCCCAGCAAACAACTCGTTTTTCAAAGTGGGGAACTATGACGTCAAAGAGGATAAAACACCACCCCTGCAGAAGAAGAAGATCAACGCCTACTTCAACACGGCCGCTTTAGCCCCGCCCACCGATTCGCGCATTACACTCATAGCTAAATAACACCTACCTCGTGATGACAAACCGGATCGAGCTACCGAGCAATACAAAATATTGTGCAGTGCCTGGTTGTTGTGGAAGAAGACAGTCGCTGCATAAGCTTCCTCTGGATTTCAAAAGGACTGTATGGTTAAACTTTCTTTTTAATGACGTTCCAGCTGATGAGGTAAAACATTGTCGGTCTGTTCGCTTCATTTCACTGAGGATTATTTTGTAAACAAGACTGGATTTGCAGACCGATTAACATATATTGGATCTGACAGGAATGGTGCAACACACGGATTCTGGGTCGAACATGTATGGGCGAATTATTCCGGTTGCCATTTTACAACATTGGACGTTTTCAAAACAATTTCCACCAAGTGCATCGACGGGTGAGTTGAAACTCATTATAATATGCAAAACTGGTATCCACTCACAGCAGTGGGCGTTTACTTCCAACTCTTCAGTGCGAGACGCCAATAAAAACCGAGCATTTTTCAGCTAAACTCAAATCTGGGATAGAAAATAGCCTATTACTTATTAATTTTGATGTTTTTGAATTCAAAAACCAAGCGAACATCATAAGTTGACCTCAGACAACAATATAATACAATTTAAAAAGCCAGTTCATGACCCCTTTAAAGGTTTTGGTGGAATATCACATACCACACTGCAGAACACTTTTGTCACTGCTTGACATTTCATGAAGCTTGAGAATTCTGAAGAGGTCTGAATGCTCACACTTTGTAACACATCTTTCCCTCATCGGTCAAAATGACCCGAAGCCTTAAAATTGAACTTACTTTTTTTCTTTTCTTTTTTTTTTTTTTTGATGGTATTTTGTTCTGTATTTTAATATTTTAATGCAATCTTTTGGAGATTATTATAATATTTCTTTACCTTTAAATGACTAGATTTGATTAATAAATAATAAATAAATAAAGAGTCATTTAAATTCCAAAATAACAATTTCATGCTTTTTAATTCTGCTCAAAATAACCTTTATTGGGTGTCTTTGCCGACCTCTTGTAGCATAATAATAAGATAACATGATATTTCATGACTCTTGTCCCTAGATGAACTTATAGCTCTATGTGGAGCAAATGAGGTGTTCCGCTGGGTCCTAAGTTAAAATTTGGAGCATTTTTTAGGTTTTTCTATGTGTAGTGAAGCATTCCTCGCATTACATTCATTTCAAAGGGGGCCAAATTGACCCGTTTCTTTTTTTAATTAAAAAAACACAAAACTCCTTGAATGGACTAGATTGTGTGTGTGTGTGTGTGTGTGTGTGTGTTCGTGGTTCAAGTTCTACAATAGTGCTATGGTCTCCTTGGACCCCTCTGATGAACACTCAATAAAAAAAAATAAAATAAAAAAATTGTTTCGGGTGAAAATGACCTGAGGGAAGGATGAGGGTTACGATTTTTGAAAAAAATGCAGTTGAAAGTGGATCGGACCAAGCAACACAACACAGCCAATCAGCAGTAGGGGGCGTGTCCACTCATGATTCATCTCCATGCTTCCTAGTTATTCGTTCATCATCTTCGCTTTATTTTTCGTAAAGCATTATTTTACTTCACTTCTGCTGTGATGTTTGTGCATTTTGGGGGCGGAGCAATGAAGGGAGGGATGTGTTTGTTTGGGTTGATTTCAAATATCCACAGTGTTCAAGTCATCTCATCACGATGACTTGTTTGATTTAGTCCTCAGTTGTAAGTCGCTTTGGATAAAAGCGTCTGCTAAATGACTAAATGTAAATGTTCAACAACAATTTTGAAAAATGGCATACTGCAAGAGCAGTATCTTTTGATTTGGAGATTGCTTGTGGCCTCTTTTTCTTCATATTCCCATAATTCCACAGTTGAGCAAAGCCATACACACTTGTAAGTGTGTGTTCTTGTGCAGTTCGAGACAATATAGGAGCTTCTGGAAGTGGAAAGTAACTCGATATCCTCAGTAAGCTGTCCGAGTCTAATAATAACTTTCAGCATGTGGGGAATTTAATGACTGGTTTATATTATGCTTCTCCATTGTGTCCTGTGATTTCTGTTGCATCTACTGTATGCACTCAATACACATTTTTGGGGAAAGAATATGGTAATATTACTAGGGATACACCGGAATTTGGATTGTTTGGCCGTGATGAATGAATGTATGAATTACGATTCTGGATTGTCCCAATAAAGCTGCATTTGAATCTTCAACCCAAGTATCTAAGCAGTTCTTAACAAAAGATTAAAAAGGTAATTTATTTCTGTGATGCAAAGCTGGATTTTCAGAATTATTATTACTTTTTAGTCTTAAGTGTCACATGATATCTCAGAAATAATTATAATATGCTGATTTGCTGCTCAAGAAACATTTATTATTATTACCAATGTTGAAAACAGTTGTGCTGCTTAATATTTTTGTGGAAATGTCATTCCAAACAAAAGTTTGATGTATTTAAAAAAGGGGTGCATTTTTTTATTAAGAGATGCATTAAATTGTGACAGTAAAGTAATTTATAATGATAAAAAAAGGGGTTTCTTATCAATGAATCCTGAAAAAAGAAATCATTTTCCACAAAAAAAAAAAAACTTTGAGTGAAGACCAAAGCAATGGTTGCTTTATTTTTTAACATTATAAATGTCTTTACTTTTTATCAGTTCGATCCATCTTTATTGAATAAATATACACAAATATATATATATATATATATATATATATATATATATATATATATATATACAGTGCCCTCCACAATTATTGGCACCCCTGTTTAAGATGTGGTCGAGGACTTTTAAAAATTCTCCCTTTTTTTTAAACAACACAGAACCCAAATGCAAAAAAAGAGAAAAATCCAACCTTTTATTTAAGTACATTACTTTGGTGGTAAAAAAAAAAATTAAAATGTAAAAAAATAAAAACTTCAAATCATGTGTGCCACAATTATTGGCACCCCTGATGTTAATACTTTGTACAACCCCCTTTTGCCAACAAGACAGCACTTAATCTCCTCCTATAACATTTCACAAGATTGGAGAACACAGAGAGAGGGATCTTTGACCATTCTTCTTTGCAAAATCTTTCTAGATCATCCAGTATCCTGGGCCCTCTCTTGTGCACTCTCCTCTTTAGCTCACCCCACAGGTTTTCGATTGGATTGAGGTCTGGGGACTGAGATGGCCATGGGAGGACCTTGAGTTTGTGACTGAACCATTTTTGTGTAGATTTTGCCCAGCGCCGGCCCGAGCCTTTTGGGGGCCCTAAGCAGAATTTGATTTGGGGGCCCCTCCCACGACGCGGAGTCACCTGTGTTTGACGATTATTGACATAAATGTCACGCAAAAATGATACATTATAAATGAATACACTGAGGTTATGTATTATTAATAAAAAAATAGATGCCTACTTAAATAAAAAAGTTTGAAAACAGTCTTAAAACTGTCTCAAAACATATACAATAAATTATTTGCTAAAATTATGACAAAACTGAGAAATTAGAAACGTAAGAGCAATGATACTTTGGCCTATCCTCCTGGGACCCAGGAATAGACTTTTGTCCACTGTAGTGGACATTATATTTTAGTGTATTTCTCTGACACCATGCATGTCACATTTTTTTTTCTGGATGTCCTGTAAAGAGC